TCCCTAAACCACAAAGGACGTCCTTCGGCCTATATTCCCGTCCTTCGTCCCCATGTCCGTCCTTTCTCTTTATAATATTATATTTGATTTTGCCATAATTGAAAACTATAAAATAAATAGTAAAATAATAACTTTAAATATAACATTAATTAATAGTTATCATTATATAAATAATTAGTTATAACTTAATAAATATTTTTTTAATTAATTATTTTAGATTTTGTTATTTATTATACTCAATAATATCAACTTATAATATTTTAATAAACCTTATACTACTCAAATATAGTTTCATTATAATACAACAATAAGAAAAACACGATCATTTCAAATCTGAATATCTAATAACCAACTCGAATGGACGAAATGCAAAATCATTTTTTCTTGAGTACTCTTTGCCCACCGACTGCTGTCACGCATTCAGTTGTTTCACAAATGACACAAACCCACAAAATTTTAGTAGTGAGTAAATTTAACATCTTGGAGTTCTATCAAATCAACACTGAAGGTCTCCTCTTTTTGGTCTCCAAACGGTACCCTTCAAAAATTGAGGTATTACTCAAATACAAGCCAGTAAAAGATGAAGATGAGTATATAATTGTCGTTACTGCCTCTGTGCAAATAGATGTTATCAAACTAACAACCAATCTCCATGTTGTGTCTTCTGGATTTTTATCCGACCCGTTTGGTCGTCTTTCGTTTTATGGGATGAAGGCGGTTGTCTCTCCGAACGGGCAGTACTTACTTCTACACATCTACGAACAACTTATAAAATTCGTGAAGTTGCCCCAACGCCCTTCGGACAAGATCTTTGCGACAAACTCGAAGATCTCAATCAATCGGATTATCGACTTCTCGTTCTGCACAATAGCTGACCAAGAGACTGTAGTCTTCTTACACGAAAATTCTCGCGACACAAGACACGTCAACACTTATATTATCGATGACCATCAGAACTTCGTGAAGAGTACTTTTAGTCAACCCAATGTAGGATCTTCAACACGTCTAGTCTTAGGGTTACCCAATGGAGTGAATGGAGTCTTAGTGATCAGTGATGAGACTGCCTGTTACTTTACAGGAACTGGGGACCATGTCTTAGTTAATGTAGGGAAGAATAGAATAACTACGACGACGTTTTTAAATAAAGACATGGTAATATTGACGGATTCAAATACCGGGTGCCATTTACTTAAACTGAAAGTGTGTGTGGAGAATTCTGTGAGTGAAATTTTATATTCCGTTCTTCCAAGTACGGAGAGTGTTGCCCAAACAGTCTCCGTAATTGGCGGAGATATCATCTTCTTTGGGTCAAGTTCGGGGAAGAGTTACTTGATGAGAGTGTCGGGGGAAATCTTCGAGACGTGGGAGAACTGTGGGCCGATCACTGATTTGAAGAAGATTGAAAACAAAGAGAATTACGTCATTAATTGTAATGGTGGAGGTCAAGAGTGTCTTGGTGTCATCTTTAAAGGGAGTGGAGTGAAAGAACTTGGGTCCACTTCTCTTGAACATGTGAGGAAGATTCATGTGTCGACGAATGGAAGAAAAGAAGTTATTTATACCTCTGGAGAGACACAAAGAGTGTTTGAAGCAAGTTACACAAAGAGTGGAGTACAAATTAAAGAACGTGAAACTTTTGATTTGGACGAAGTATATGGGAGTGGCCAAATTCTTGAGGACTTTTATGTTGTGACAAAGTGTGGCGTATTTGTAAGAAAAGAAGAGAAGTACACCCCAATTTATACATCGAGAACACACCAACTGACGCACTGTAAATTAACAAAGACGGCAATTTATTTCATTGAAGAATCCGTTGTGTATCGAATGGATAAAAATCGAGAGATCTTTAAATTGTGTGGATTAACAGAGCAAGCGACTTGTATTGACGTCGATCAAAAAATCGTCGTTGGGTTGTGGAGTTGTGATGTATTAATTTTGAGTTTAACGGGGTGTATAGAGAAAACACTGAAAATGCGTGACATCTCGCGGAGTGTGTTGCAACTTGCAAATAAATTATACGTCGCTTTTGATGAGAAACTCGAAGTGTATGAATTCAGTGGTCTTCCTGGTGTGATTCCCGAACAAGTCGAAAATACCGAAACCCTTTCTTTCCCATCGAGTCAATCAACTAAGTTGAAATTAGTCCATGACGTCATATTTGTGATTAGTGACCAGGGGTACACACTTCAATCAAGTGGTCTTGTCCCCCTTGCTGTAGAAGATATGACGGATATCTCAGAGACCCACATTGGTACCAATGGCGTTATAATAAGTACCACACGAGGGTTAGTCATCGGCGAGTTAGAACCGCTCACCCGACTTTCTGTCAAGAAGAAAAGTAGTGGCGAACAGAATGGGAGAATTGGAGTGAGTGGTCTTCATGGTATTCTTGTTGGAAAGAAAGTCCAGTTATTCAATTTAATAGATGGCGCGTCGTACCCCAGCGAATTTTTGTTGCTCTCGTGTGACGAAGAGATTTGTATGTGCGTGGAAACCATTTCTGAACATCTATATGTCATCGGAACAGCTATTATAAAGGAAAATGAAGTTGAACCAACAGTCGGTCGTCTGTTGGTCGCCGAGGAAGTTGATGGCAAACTTGTTTTGAAGTGTACGCATGAGTTTGAAGGAGCTGTGTATGCTATTAAGAAATTCAAACAACACGTTTTGGCGTTGATAAATCGACACTTACACGTCATGGATATCACCAACGAGTCTGTTCTTCCACGGAATATCATCGAGTTGAATATGATTGGGGTGTGTATGGAGGTTCTTGGCGATTACATCATCGTCGGTGACTTCATGAAATCCGTCACAGTCTTTGTGTGTAAAAGCGACGACCTGTCACAGACAGAAAAGGCTTGGACTGATATTGCCGTGTCCTGGGTGAATGCGGTGGGGTGTATTGAGAATGGAGACTCCAATAAGTTCGTTTCGTGTGACGTCGATGGAAATGTCAAAATATTTGTGAAAGGTGGAGAAGAGCGTTGGTATATCGAAGATCTTTTGAAGTGTGTCGGTAAAATTCATGTGTGTGAGTGCATCAACTTCGTTGAAAAATCGTTGTACAAGGGGGTTACACTTGGCGGGGTCAGTGGTGCGTTGTACAACATTTCTTGTCTGTCGGACAACGACTACCAAATACTGAAAAAGGCACAAGATATGCTTGTTAAGGACAACTGGAGGCAGTTTGTTGGGACAAAGACAAAAGAGGTGATGACCAACTTTATTGACGGGGACAAGATTGAAACAATTTTGGATTGGCCACTGGAACGCCAGACGTCGTTTTGCAAGAAAATCGGTGTAGACCGCTCAACTTTTGTTGGCTGCATAAAGAAGATATTTTCCGATATATTTCAATGAGTGATTTGATTTGTTGGTTTCGACAGGTCATAATAAGAAGCAAATTCAGTAAGTCAAACTAATAAGAATACAAAATACATTATCAAGCCTTGTACTGTCTCACGTGGTCGTTATAAGCTGCTTGTTTCATCAATTTTAGGTACAAACGAATTGCAAGGGCAATAAACTTTGTGATGATGAAGTCTGGAAGGGCGATTGTGATGTCAGTTTGCGTCATCAAAGTGCACAAGCAATCGTTTCCCTGTTTTCTAAAGACAAACCCACTGAAATTGACCAATCCACGGATGAATTTCTTGTTGTCGATTGGTGCATTGTTGTGTTCGGCAGGCAGGTATACACCAACACAACAATTGTCTGTCTCGATGACTTCTCTGACGTGCACATAATCTCTTTGTTTAAACAATTTTGGTGTCCACGTCGCGGTTCTGGAAACCTTGTTTCCGTTTGGCAGGATCTCTATATCTTCAATAACTGTGTAAAAACTGTCCCACCTTCTTCGTATTGAATAGTCCCAGTACAACTCGCACATCCGTTTCGGCGTAATGTTCGGGATGACAGCTCGGGCAACCCCATTCCACGTGCTACCGTTAACCTTTCTTCTCCAAACATCAACACCACTTGAAATAGAGTGTGTGTATCGTGGGTCACTTGCGGTCTCCATAAGGAAAATGCCTTCAAAATCACGGTCGGTGATGACGGGCACGCTCATACCTTCAACTTGGCTCTCTCGTTGGTAATTACGGAGCTCGACCATAATTTCGTTCAATTCCTCGAAAGTCATGTTGCGCGACAAGTTCTCAAGTTGAGTGATTCGCTCTCTGTTAGCTTCCTCTTTAATGTCGCGGGATGGGTCTTGAGCTGTTTGTTCGGTTTTTTCTTCCACTACAACATCGTCTCGTTGGGGAGTCACTGCGAGGTCTGGAACGTCTGGAGCGTCGTCAAAATTGACGTACTCATTGAAGAGTGCGTTGTCTTCCTGAACGCATTTGGCAGACATCGTTTTTTTCTTTGACTCCTTCCCAAATTCCACCCCTATAAACCGAATCATTCCGCAATTACAACCACGTTTCGAAAATGAAAAAATGACAATTATTACATTTTAATTATCTTTTCTAGTAATGAAATAGTATTATAATTTAATACTAAAGATATAATAGATGAAAAGAATTAGGTTTGATAACTCAAAAATTGTTGCTTATGTCTTCTCCACCAATTCCAAAACGGGTGTTTGCGGTGTCAGACACTCATCTCAATCTCCAGTTGATCTTTGACGTCAAAAACGGAAGGAATCACAAGAAACCTGCCACCGTTCCAGAGAAAAAGCAATTTCTGTTAAAAACTCGAGACATGGCGGTTTATGGTTGGGAAAACTATATTAAAAAATTAAAAAAGTCGTGGGACACCTCAATAACGCAAAACGACATCGTTTTGGTGTCGGGTGACGTGGCAATGTCAACCCGCAATCCGCTGTTAGATCTGAAATTTCTGTCGGAACGCCCCGGGTTTAAGATCATAGGGTGTGGTAACCACGACATGTGGTGGCCTTACTCAACTTCACAAAAACGAAACTATCAGCTCAAATATAAAAACATGTTCTTTTTAGATTCGACGAATTATTACAAAGATGAGAATATATTAGTTGTTGGAACGAAACTTGCTGATTATCGTTTTAATCTTTGGCCGGCATATTCCGACACGTTTGAAGAAGAGATGTATGATCCCAAAATTGAAGACCACCGTTGTGAAAACGAAACCCACAATCTCGAGATTGTTCTCAATACGCTCTCAAAGCATCGGGGATCTCTTAAAACCATTCTTATGATCCATCACCCACCTTGCGACCAGAACATAACGCAAAATGAGATTTTAGAAATGATTGTTCAAGCTCAACCCGATTACTGTATATTTGGCCATGTTCATTCTTTCACTCAACTTTATAAAGATCCAAAGATACAAACAATAGAAGATGTCAAGACAAGAGCCCCAGCAGTAAACTTCATTAGAGGGCAGACTCAATTCAATTGTGTTGCACTCGATTACTTGAAAAATCAGCCGATGCTGCTCTTTTCTATCCAACAATAGTTTATTATAGTTAACCAATAGTTTTCCCTTTCTCGGAATCACAAAGAATGGTTTTATATAGTTTAAACCGACTTGAATAGTTTTTTAATTAGAAGTTCTAGTATACACAGCAATCAATACAATTTTTGGTAGTTTCCTTTGTAAGGAACAGCACACCACGAGCAACAGAAGAGTGTTTTCAGTCCACCGAAAGAGTCTGGACAGAGATAAGGACAGCAGTATTTTTGGTAACAAGGGACGGTGACCAACCCACACAAATAAGACAAAGACATTCCGGCGAGGAGTGGAATGAACGCGGTGATGTAAGACATCTCCCTCTTCTTATCATTGATTTGAAGGGAGAGGATAGTAGTGATGAGACCCAGTACTACTGTGATCCCCCCGACAGTTGATAAGTATACTGCGCGATATGTGAATCGTAAATTGTCGACATTATAACAGTGTTCTGTGACAAGAGTCGAGTTCAGTCTATTTCTAATGAAGTGGATGAATATAGCCAACAAGCAATTTGAAAGAATGAATAGTGTAGTGAAGAGAGATACCACAATGATATATATATTCGAGTGAAAGATGTTACCAGTATATATATATACCATTGTAGAGATCACAAGACCACTGAGAAAGATGTTGTAAGGGACGTTCACAACTTTAAAACATCTGAAGAGTATTCGAAACGACTTTTTGCATTCAAAGACATCGAAAATTCTTAACACACAGAAGATGCTATATGGAAGCAACACGAGACCGAAATTGAAGTGATAGATATACCACACCCACACGACTACATATGTCAAGTCGATGATAACGGGAAGGAAGAATGAGAGATCCACCGATTGCACCGATTGTGCGATGAAGACGGATGAACAGAGATTTCGCCAGCCGAGAAATAAGGAATAGATCTTGTCGCTCTCGTTGCGTGGAGTATACGTCTTTGCGTTGATGATAACAACGAGCGAGAAAATGCCATAGTGAAGGACTACGGGGAATAACACTAGAATCCCATAGAACATCGTACCCAATTTCCCATCAAGGTAATACCCAAGTATGATGAAAAAGCACAACACACAGAATAACGAGAAGGTGTCACAGAAGATGTTACTGAAGAGACTCTGCACACAGTAATACCGTTGCTTGGTAAAGTTATATTTCCACAATTTGATTTTGTCAGTGTATTCCCGATTCGCCATGTCGCGTTGTTGTCGGGCGGTTATAAGACAATCAACTAAGTCGATTTGGGTGTGGACGTCTCGATGCGACAGCTGAGAAAGAATGTCGGGATCCATTAACAAGGACTTGGTCGTGGAAGACATTGCACTGAGTTTCTGGACCGTTTGGAAGTCACTCCGAAGACTAATTTCCTTGAGAACAAAATACGGAACAGGGGATATCCCCCCATCGGTGGATGACATGGTGGGGTGTAATGTGTGGTTTTGAGTTAAACTGGAAAGAAATAATTCGAATGACAATTTCTATTATAATAATTAAATTTATTAATTTTTTATAAGTGATAATCTCACTCATCAGATGGTCATTAATGTGATTTCCTTAATAATTGTTTTAAGTAAAAATGCAAATTTGGACACAGCGACTTTTCTTAATTGTGAAAATTCATACAGTTAGTTAAACCATCTTTAATTGTAAATAAACTATATATATATAGTTGTTTTTTTGTAGTTGTTTTTATTTTTAAAATTATTCAAATGGTATTTATTATAATAAAATAAACTATATGTCTCATCACCAAAATGTTCTTTGTTTTTTTAACCACACAAAGAAATATAATAAGACATTAAATAGTATTTGTCCTATGAAAAAATGTACTTCAAAATAATAGTATCTTTTTAGTTTATTACTAACAAGGACTAGTTCAAAATGACATAACATATGAATTTAAGAGGCTTCTGTACTACTTAGTCTTGACACACAGTACATTATTGCAGAGAGGGCACTTGTAGACCAAGTCTTTAGTTGAGTCGATGACTAGAGGTATCCAGAAAAAGCACAGACACCCCAGCACGAACAAGACCACTGCTAATACAATCGAGAATTTCCCATTTTTATATTCGGTATTGGGATGGATTGTTTTATTGCAGGTCGAGCAGTACATCTCCTTATATACATTCTCATTAGGAAGTATTGGTTGATTCTCTGCAGCGCTCATTCTTTCATTTTACAGTTTTCGAAGAGAGTTTTCCATTATCGCACAATAACATTTTATATAACAAAAATTGATACAAACAACTTATTTTTGCAAGACATTCAATCGCGCGATCGGTGTCGGTTTTGACGATTGGTGGAGATGGGAGACCTCTTTCTCGCCCCACACAAACGATTCTGTGACGTTCAGAAATTCCGCTCTAATATCGAACGGTTCTTCTTTTGTTGATTTTTCAAAGATGAGTGACACAATGTGTTTCATCTGTGGGGTGAACACAAACGAAATCGTTTGGAATTGCCTTGTCATGTCTTGTATGAGTTTTTTGACGCCCTCTTGATTCATTTTCCTTTGTTCCCACACTTGTTTGACTTGTGCCAGTTCGATCCCAAATATAAACAGTGACGACAAAAGCACGGAGTCCGGTTTCACAAACGTCGTGTCAATCAACTTGAGTATATCTGTTGTATAATCCGCCATTTCTGCCTGAGGTATAGATGTTGGAAACTAGTGGTGAGTATTATTAGTTTATTACTAGTTTATTATTAGTTTTAACCAATTGACTCAACACAAAGAAGAGCAAACGTGTTTCAGTGGCGAAAATAAAGACTCCGCAAACAGTTTTACACACAGCAGTGATGGTTCCAGTGACTCCGATCCAATCGCAAACATCGCTTTTAACGTCTCCAGTTTAATAGTTTTCCCTGTCGTTGGGAGTGTTGGCGTGATTTTGACGTGTTCTATATTTACTTTATCACTTTTTTCACTCTTCACCGCTTTACCAAAACTCGTTGCGCTTGGAGTCGTCAGTGGAGCTCCCAATTCCTTTAATGAGGGTATCGGCTTCATTTGTTTCTCTCCTTTCACTTGGAAAGAAACTAACGAAGGAACTTCCTTTTGGGGTCTCTTCACTACGGGGCGCGTCACCTCAGACTCCATGCCCGGGTGCGTGACAAACAAAGTCTTATTAGTCAAGAGCGTCTGCACTGTCTTATCTCCTTCACTCCCTAATAACTTCTTGTGAACCCATACCTTCCCTGGCAACGTCGACGATTTTATGAGAAAAATGTCCGACAAGACTGTTTTGCCAGGTCGAGTCTCCAATGGAGAGTCACGTCGACATTGACCGTAAGCTATGATGTGGGACTTGTTGTATTTCTCTAATGTAAACGAGGGACATTGTGTCACTTTGGTATCATCTTGTAATTCAGAACGTACTAGTACAGCTCGACGTACTACTGCGGTCCCAAAATTCACTTCTTGATACGCCAAAATCTTGTGCGGCTCCGTGTAGCCAAGCTCGGACATGGGTGGATGGTTTGAGGTTTTCAAGTTCTGACAAACTTAGTATACTATGACGTCTTGTCTTTACTAGTTACTATAATTGTTTTTATTATTTTTTATAATTCAGGTAAGACACCTAGACCGTTTCTTTTTTGGGGGGTTTACTATATGTTTATAATATATTTATAATATTAATGGTATTAAATTATAACTTAATAATTAAGGTACTATTGATTAATTTGATTAATTAAAAATATATTTCAAATTAATTGATTTGGAAAAAATAAAAAGACAGACAACTATTATAGTTAATTATAATAAACCCTACTATTATTGCCAAGTTGTAAACTCATTTTTACTGATTGAATGGACGAAACGGGGGCCAATGTTGAACAACAAAACGATGAATATGACACGTTGAGAAACATTTATGATCACAACGATCAAATCAATTTCAATAAAATTGACACCAATAGGTACAGAATATGTATAACATTTTCAACACAATGTATGATAATTTTGTTTTACACATTACCGTCGTGCTACCCAAGCGAAGGGTCTCCACTTTTTATGGCGAAAACAAAACGAAATTGGCTTTCTGATGGACAACTCAATAGTATTGTTTACGAGGCAGAAAGGATTTCGGCGGAATATAAAGGAGAGTTGTGCATTTTCCCAGTGGTTGACAGGCTGATGGCGGCAGATTTTCTTTCTTCAATCAGCGCAAAAGTTTACCCCGACGAACCGCCCGTCAATCTCGAAAGTGACAAGAAAAGTGACATCCAAAATGCCGGAATGGCGCGAGAGAATGACGACAATCTTGCGAAAACCCTGGAAATATCTGGTATAAAAGTCTTCGCAGGAGTGCCATTAGTCGACCGCAAAAGCAAGTTCATTGCTTTTGTAGCCCGGGTTCACTCCGAAAAAGAAACCCAACTTGTCTTTGATGAGTTGTGGAAGAACAAGAAGATCTCCATCGCAACTCACAACATACAAGCGTACCGTATTAATATCAACGGAACTATTTCTTGTGATTTTGACGATGACGGCGAACACGCGGCTGGAAAAGAGTTGCTAAGAATGCTCGAACAGATCAATGCAGAGAACGTTTGCGTTATGGTGTCGCGATGGTTCGGGGGTATTTTATTAGGGCCAGACAGGTTCAAGCACATCGTTAACACTGCCAGAGATGCACTTTTTGCAAACAACTTAGTCGATCGCAACGAAAAACCAAAGAAACACAAATAACACTATTTACTATAATTATATAGTTAATTTATAATTAATTAATAATTTATTTGTTTAACGAAGTTACATGATAGTTTATTAATAGTTAAATTATAGTTCATTGATTCTATTTTAAGAACAGTTTTGTCTCAGTTAAACTAAACATTATTGTCGGTGAGACAAGTCAACGAGGCACGGAATATCTGGAGCATCAGCTTCGAACCACCTGACAAACGCGTTTATCCAATTGTCTCTTGTGTTACAAAACAGTATGTAGTGGTGGTAGAATTTAAAAAGTAACACCGCGATCAGAGCTGCGATGTAAATGTCAATAGTATAATGTCTTCTACACATCACGAACACGACAGAAGCTGCTGTTGTAAAGACTAATATGATTGCTTTGATTAAAGTGAATCGTAATGGATATCCAATTTGATTGACCGCGGGAGATATATCGTCGCAGACTGCGATATGCCACAGTGGTGCTTTTTCGTCGTAGTGATACCAAAACATCGCGCACAAAAAGAGAGCTGCGGTGTGTGGACAAAACATAAGGTCGTGGCACGACCTTTCCCCGAAAAATATTTTGAATGAATAAGTAAAGAAGGAGTCAGTGTTGTTTGCCTTACAAGGCACAGGGGAAGGTAAATAGGTAGAGAAGATACTGAGTGATCGCAACATAAAGATAACACCTTGCAACAAGAAAAATCGTTTGACTATGATGACTCGATAAGGAGTGAAGAAGAATCTGAGGAATGTAAATGTCAATACAAACAACATAATATAAGAAGGAATGTAAGGGATGTCGATAAATGGAAGATAGTCATTCCCCAAATCAAGTAAAGTGTAATTCTTTGGGACTTCGGGATGACCAGAAAGCCATCGAATATAATACATATCAGTAAGGGCTTGAAACAACGCGTTCACAAAGAGCGATACTATCAGAAACAAAACACTCCAAAAAAATCCAGAAGTAAAGAAGTGAACGAGCTGTTGACATGGACTATGAATAATCATACTAAACGTTTGTACTATATCAGAACCAGTGTCTACTATACTCATAAAACCTTTAGACTCTAACTCAACTGTTCGAAAGGAAATGATCGTGGTGTCCGGAACTGTGAATGACTCGTCCATTTTGTTTTTTGTAGTTCTTTTTGTTTGCTTTATCATTGAATGGTATAACATTTTATATAACATTTTTATAATTCAACAAATTTTTTTAAAATCTAAATTGTATTAATAATTCAATTATAAATTTTACTATAATAAAATAGTTATGCAATTGATTTAAAAATTAATTATCATTATTTAAATGAATAGTTCAAATAATAATTAATAATTAATTATTACAATAATTAATAATTGTAATTAAGTTAATATGAATAAGACCAATAATATAAATAGAATAAAAATATAGTTACAAAAATAGCAATAAAGATATGACAAATATATTATAAATTACTATAATACCAATCTATTAACAAAAAAACAAAAACAACGATGTTATTAAATCTTATTTACAAATTATATATAAAAAAAGAAAAGGATGATAGGCTGATTTTAAAAGTGCGTTTTTCAATCTCGAAATAGTAATGAGCAAATAACTCGGTATAAATTACTAACAAAAAGGGAAAACCCCGTAAAAAAAAGTTTTGAATAATCCGTAAGAAATGGGACTTCTGAATTTGAGTAAATCGGATTGGTTGTAAATTTACACCACATTTTTTAAACTCAAAATCAGAAGTGAGAATGGAGTCAACGAGAACAGAACACAACCCAAATGAACAATTGTGCCACGACGACACGATACCCGAAAGTGATGTTGAGGTTCAATACAACAATTTAAAAAAGGCACTTACTTCCGAGCAGCAAAAGGTGATTGAGGATTACATAGCCTTCCGTGTCTCCCGAATGAATGCTGAGAAAAGTGAGAAAGAAGACAGTAAAACATTAAGTACGGATACTGCTTTAACTTCCCAAGACGATAGTGAAGATGATAGTGATACAAATTCTAAAGAAGAAAAGGGTTGTACCGAACAGAAAGATGAGAAGAAGTCGACGAAGCGACACAAAGAGAAGAAGTCTAAAAAAGAGAAGAAAGGATGTGACGAATGGTGGATGAAAGAAATGAAGAAACACTCGAAAGGTTATGACTTCCAAAATCCACGTCCTTGGTGGATGAGAAGAATGCGAGGACATATGTTCGAACCATTCCCGGGACATCCCCCAGTTTTCTCGCCTTATGGCCCTCTTCCTATGTATCAACCATTTCCTATGTGTAACCCTTTCCAATATCAACCAATGATGTTCCCCCAACAATTCCCTCCTTTCCATCAACAATGTCAACAACAGCAACAACAACCCTTCTCTCAACAACAGTTCGGTGTCCAATTCCCTCAACAACAAAATCAATACGGGCAATTCCCACAACAACAGAATCCTTCTCCAATGCAGTTTGATAGAAGAAATGACAATAACAGTGACGAGGAGAATGAGGAAGTCGACAAAAAACTGGCAAATGGAAAAGTTGGCGAACAAACTTTGGGACAACAACACACTCAAGAAAGAAAACACCACACTCGATTCCAGAAGAAGAAACCAAAATTCCAGGATTGAGGTATTTTTACTTAAGCTACTATAGTTTCAAATATAATTCAATTATATTATAAATAGTACCATTCTTATTTTAGAATTGATTTACTATATTTTTAGTAAATGTTGTTTGTCATCGAGTATATTATAGTATTATAGTTTATTTACTATATATATTAACATTTGGCTCATCGTTTTTTCATACAAATGTAATTGACAAATAAAGAGTTGTGGTATTTGATATGTCAAATAGTTTGAGTTCTAAGAAGCGTTGGTTGTTTCAAACACAACTTTGAGATACATAGATACTCTCATCAATTATTTTGTTATAGTACAATTAAAGTAAAATAAACTATATTTATTAATAATATAACCACGTGGATTTAGTAAACAAATAATGAAAGAAGTGAGATTGAAAGAGGTATCTCGAAACATCATAATAAAGAATGCGTTGGAATTAAGGATATCAATTTACAATCTTTATCTGTAAATAATCGGGATAGAAAATAAGCAAAGAAGACAAATGATTTACTAATACTAAAGTAATAGTTTTGAATAGTTCTTTTTTGTTGAGCAAAGATCCATTAAGTAGTATTAAAAAAGAACCAAATACAAACTATAAAAACAGTATGTCTCGAGAGTTATATATCGACCAATATACATCATTCTCTAAATTGGTGACGACGGAAGAAATTGTCAAGCGCCTCAACGAGAACTTTTTGCTGAAGAGCTCAGAGCTTCTCGACGTTATCGTCCCCGCATTTGTTCAAGACAAATTTGACTTAAAGAAGTACACGAAACTATGTCAGTACCTTGACGCGTTTACTTTTGCGTATGGGTCTATAACAACTGCACACGCAGTAGCATTGATATTCATCGGACTCGACATCAACGGGAATATGATGCTGAAGATATCTGACGCGAAAAAGTACTTCCTTTCTGTCACTCCAAAAGAGAAAGCAAAACAAGTGAAAAAATTGGTTGATGCGGCGAACGCTACAAGCGACAACTATTATTCAATAGATGAATTCTTAGCAGTCTACCAAGTTGTAAAAGAGTCAGTGCTGGACAAGGAAGTCATCACTGCAATCGTTAACACTTGGTCATTTGCCATTCTCTTCTCTCAGTTTGCAAATGGACAGAACTACTTGACCGACGAGAACGCAGTCAAAGCTATTCAAAAGCAATTTTCAATCACAAACGCATCGGTGTTGAGTGTCGTCGTTAAGTTGGTCGATACGAGTAAAGTCCACAAATTCAACCAAAGCGAGTTCACGTACTTGTGCAGTCAGATTCTGTTTGTCACGCAAAAGGTCGGGACAAGCAACTTCTCCTTGAACGTCGTCGCGTTCAGGATATTAGACATCAACTGCTCTGGATTTTTAAACCCAAAGGAATTCTCACGCTTTTTGAGGAAGTCTGGACTCGACACGAAAAAAGAGTCTGTCAAAGAAACAATTAAAAAGTTGGACACCAACGGAGACGGTGTTTTACAAATCGACGAGTTCATAGTGCTGACGAACGGACTGTCAAAGTCGGATGTTCCAAAATACTTTTTGAATAATTTGGTTGCGAAGTCACAAAGCGACTTGAAATTTGATTCGGTGCAACCGCAGAACCAATTGAAGAATGTGAGGACGTTACAAAGCGAGAAAAAGGAGTGTTCAAAATTAATTCGCAAGACAGTCGAAAGGCCTGAATTTGTTGCGATGTTTAAAGAGTTGTGTCCAAGCGAGAAAATGGATTTACCAACACTCAAAATTGCGATTGAAAAGGTCATTGGGGAGAGTAACACAAAAGCACTGAAGGGTGCAATGGAAGTCATTTTTAAAGTCGGGAACATCGACTGCGATGATAAACTTGATTGCGATGAATTTGTCATATTGATAAGTGCGATAGAGCAATGTATGAGAGGAAAGGTCATTGAAGAGCGCGACATGTATGAAGTCTTTTTCCATATTGCTGATGGGGATCATGACGGGCTGATTGATTGCAACGAATTAGCATTTTTAGTGCAACAGATAGATGGAACTACTTTGTCACACGAAGACGCCGAAGATTTAGTTCGATCATATGACGAGGGTGGGAAGAACCAACTGTCTTTAGATGAATACATGTGTTACTTCATGCAATTGGACCAAGTCAAGTTGGATGATACAGAAGAAGAAAAGGACAGAAAAGCCAAAAAGCAGATCAAAAAGACGTTCCGCTTGATAGACAAAGACTCTTCGAATTCGTTGGAGCTGTCTGAAGTAGTCAAGTACATCGTTTCCATCGTTGGAGAACTACCCGAAACGAATTACATGTGTTTGAAGGCGATGTTTTATGTGTGTGACGAGAATAAAGACGACAAACTCTCCGAATCGGAGTTCATTCAATTCTTCTGCTTGTTCGAGTATTACATCGACGACGATGGGCAATTTGATTTGGACTCAATATACATCGAGTTATTCTCAATGATGGACAAAGACAAGACAGACAAGCTTTCCAAAAAGGTGATCACCGAGTTTCTTGGGAAGATAGGCTGGAAAGAATCTGCGATCAACTTCATGGAAAAGTATGACAGCGACCACAGCGATTCTATCGGCCTTAATGAGTTTGTCCTCGCTTTTTGTGGCAAGAACATAGACACTGACGATATTTGATTTCTTCTTATTTACTTGAGTCGAATCTTGAAAATTGGTATAGAAAATACTAATTAATACCTATTAATAAAACATTCAAATTAGGTTATCCTCTATAGTCTCTTCTTTTTTGATCTCTCGAGTCTCTTTGTTGGTTTCGTGGGTCATACCCTTCTCTGAAGTCCTTTTTGTTGTCAACAACTTTCTCTCTATGTCTTTCCTCATCCGCAAGTTTGAGCAAATATGCCTGTGGACAGATTTTACCGTAAACAAGTTGAAGATCTTCGGCCATCACATACGAGTGATCAAAACAGACTATAATGTCGTCTGGAATGTTGTCTGCATTGAGTGTGCACCTCCCGTACTTTTCGTCAAACAATTGCCCCTTCATACAGTACTCCCTTCCCCACGAGACTTTGTAGTACACCCCCTTTGCTGTCTCGGTCGTTGCAAAAAATCTGAATGCTTCCATTGCGGTTGTTCGGGTGTAAAATGTTATGAAACAGTGGTGCTTGTCTGCAAACAGTTTAATTCGCTTCAGTGGGTACTTGGTGCCCAGTAATGTAGTTATACTCTGTTCGGTTGTGTTCTCCGGTAAATTCGCAACAAAGACAACGTTGGAAAACAATTCGATCATCCCATTTGGATTTTTCAATTCTTTGCGCACATCTTTTCCTGGGCGTCGCTGCTCTAAGATTTGAAGGGGATGTGGAAGTTTGTGGAGCGGCTTTTCTTCACAATAAAATTTCTTTGCGTCTTCCTCGTTATACTCGTCATCGTCCTCTGACATCTTTTCGTTCGCGTCTTCTTGCTCCACAATGGTGTCCTTGTTTATTGGGACTTCCTCCATCATGGTTTGGACTTCCACTTGTTTTTGTGGAGTTTGTTCAGTGATTTGTGTTGGTTGGGATTGTTCTTGTGGCACTGGTAAAATTTCTTCCATTGGCACAATTGGCTGTTGCTGTGTTACTTGCTCTGATGGAGTAACTTGTTGTGGTACTGTTGGTTGGTGGACCTCCATTGGTGTTGGAACGATTGGGGCGTTTGGTGCACTTGGAATGTCCTGAATAGTATTGTTTTGTGGTGTTTCATTTGGTTGTTGTACTTCTGGTTGTTGTATGACTGAAGGTTGTACACTCACTTGTTGCGCTGGTATAGCAGATTGAGTTGTTGGTTGCACAAATTGTTGAGGAAGTGAAGTTTGAGGGTATTGTGGCACCATCTGATTCATTGAATAGGGGTCCATATATGCGTCAGTCATACCATACGCGCTTGCTGAAGATATATAAGGGTCTGTGTCTCCCATTCCCAAGTCTCGCAAAAAACTGTTTTCTTCTTTTTTATTGTCTTCCTCTCTGTTACTCATGTTATTACTTTACAAGTTTTTTGAAATATTTTTTTAAATAATCCAAGGAAATCATTAGTTATGTTATTAACTTATTTTTAAAAGAAATATATAAGACATTTTATTATATATTTATTAAAAAGAAATAAATACTATACAGTTAATAAAATATACTTAAATATATAACAAACAAAAAAAATATATGTCAGTCTGTAAACATTATTTTTTAATAAAAATAAATAAATTAGAAATTAAAATAAAACATATATAAATATAAAACATTATAAGACTAATTATTGTAATTTATTAATAAGTAATAAATTCATTTAATTTCATTTTATAAAAAATATAATTATTAAATATAATATAAAAAATAACATAATTTTGGTCAAAACATAACAAAAGTTTTATCTTACATATATGTATTATTATTATTTTCATGTAATTTTACAATATTGAATATATAAGACGGAGACTATCATGAAAAATAAACAACTTGAATTGAATATTAGTCTAAAAAATAAAAAATAAATAATAACAATCATTGAAAAATAAATCTTATAAAAACATTATAAAAAAAAATAAAACAGAAGTTAAGTACTTAAAAATATCATCAACCATACAATACTGTTACTGTTTTAAATAAAACACAAATTTTATTTTTTTTGAACTTGGTATGATATACAAAAAAAAACTTACCTTATGGCGACTCTTTTGAAATGTAAACAGTAAACAAACCAATCGCGCAAACAATAATTTATTGGTTTTCCTTTTTTCTTCAATTTTTGGAAATGTTTTAATTAAAATACCAACGGTGTTGGAGTTTTCATCAACAAAACATTTTTTTTTCTAAAAAAATGTTTTATAAAAGAAAAAAAAATCGTAAGGTTAAATTTAGCTTATAAATCCAATTTTTTTACATTTAAACACAAAAAGTATAATAAAAAATAATTTTTTATTAATTTAATAATCACATTGTTTTTAAAAATAATTCAATGATTAACGATTGAATTTATTAAAATCTTTCATTTTATAACATAACAAAAAAAACGAAAGATCACTATTTTACAACAAATCTGAATAATAATAAAATAAGATTGACAATAAACTTTTTCAAAGATCATGTTAATTAAACATGAAGAATAATATAACGAGCAGTCTTATAAATTATTAAATTTAAATTCATATGACATTTCAATAAAGAAACGAAGTAGTTTATTTAACTTCTTTATCAAATGAGTTGTTTGAGAAGTAATTTACATTTTTTTGTGTAAAAAAAATAATAACAATCAAAAATAAACCAACTCAAATGACTCAACAATCTTTGTAATATAAAATTAATTTGATAATGTTTTGTGAAATTGGTTTGGATTTTCAATAAACAGTGGGCATAAAAAAAGACAATTTTAGTGTAGTTTTGTTCTATAAATAAATATATGATAATCCTATTAACTTTGATAAAATAAACAATGAAATACATAGAAACACTGGAATTGTTTTAATTCAAAAAAATAACGAAAAAGTAGCTAAAAACAGAGATAGCAACAAAGAGGTAACATTTTAATATGAAAGCGAATCAATAAATAAATGGATAAAACCGAATAGTAAAAATAAATGAATTGATTTATGATGTGTATTTCATGAATTTGACTGATTTTTAATGAAAAGAATCGTGCGGGTTTTGGACATTATAAGACATTGAGAGGCTTGCAAAGTTAAATTGTTGTCTCTTTCTTTTATTAGCATTTGAAATAGTTTGACACTTCCTCATTTCGTTTTGATACTTTTGGTCGAGCATTGGCAGATAGCATCCAACGCAGAGGTGTTTCAGTTTATCAAACAAACTTAAGAACCCACCGTCCACCACATATATATCTGGAAATAGTAAATTGGGTCCATTAGTCTTTCTATCCATACTGTGTAATTTTTTAGCCAGGGTTGGTGCTCTTTGTCCCGAGAATTCACAATAGAAAACAACGGTGTTATGAATTGTTTGATTTCTTTGGAAGAGGAAGTATTCCTTCAACAGTTTTTCGTTCCAGATATTAACTGAATTTATGACTTTACCTGCGTTGTATTCGTATGGATATCTACAGTCGATGAATGTAAGATTATTATTATTAGTTATCATTTCATTCACTTCATGTGGTTTAATGTACTGTAATAGGAATGGGGTTTCACAAGTAAAGTCCAATTCTGGTGACAAAGAAGGACTGGAATAAGTTGATGACAACATCCTTTCTTTATTAAGAAAAAAGATGGACTCTGGTGTCTTAGATATAAAAAGAGGTTCTGAATCCTCTGCAAAGTCGGGAGAAATCGGAGTCGTACAACTCATGGACGACCGGGGAGTTGCAAAAGGACTTGGGGAGCGGGACTCAGCGCTTGGCAGCCGAGTAAATGCCCGTGTACGTGTTGGTGTGAAAGTGACGCGCATGGCTGCCTGGGTTATTTAGTTGCCAAACATTTATTTAGAAAACTGTATTTTTGGAGCCTTGCCCATCACTATATTTTCGACCTTTCAGTGGATTCTGATTGGTCTAACACAGGCGGCATTCACTGTCCTATTAAACGTTTTAATTATTAGATATCTTCGTAATTCATGTATTACTTACAAAACGATGATATAGACTATACTGAAGATTGTAATCAACATTACAACAAACAAAACACTTATGGTTCTTACTTATGAGTAAACACGGGATAGATGTTAATTTATGACAATCAAACATAATTTTGAAAAAAAAATCAATACTAACTTTTCAACAAAAAAAAAGAAGAACGAGGAATATTTCCCCCTTTTAGCTCGTCGTTTTTTTAGACTTAATTTTTTAAACTGGCAAAAATGAAGAAACAACCCTTTAAATAAATAACTCGGTTGTATCATGTTATTTCCCTTTTTTTACAATAGTTTTTCTTTGAATAATTTAAAAATTCATTAATTAACAAGTCGTTTTCACAACAAAAGTGTTTTGCCTATTTTTTGAGCACATAAGATTTGTCCAATGAAAAGTATTTTATTCAAGTTTTTTAACCACATTATCCCGTTTTTTAATGGATATATTCGTTATCCACAAAACAAATAATTGTAATAAAAAAGGTCATTCAAATATTGTATAAATGTGGGAATTCTGTATGATTTTCCAAATTGTTTTTATTTCATTTTGAATTATAAAGTGGAAATGATCGGCACATTTGTCCTTTGTTTACAGAAAATGGGTGTTTTTTTGCTTTGTTGACTGTTTTTTAAGTCGTGTGTGATATTTATATAGTTTATTATTATTTTGTTTTGTTCAAATTACATTTCATTTTAGTTTTGTGTTTATTGTATTTATATTTTAGTTGTTAATATAATTCTTTCAAATGATTTTATTTAATTTGAGAATTTTAATTTTGTTTGATAACTTCTAATTTTTATATAAAAAACCTAGTAACAAAATGGTATTTAAATTTCAATTTAACTATATTTTTATTTAAAAAAAATTATATGAGGACTACAGTAACTACGAACAAAATTTACTGATATTTTACTCAAATATCAGTGAATCTTTTACATAAAAAATGGGACAATGGTGTTTTGTTAAAAATAAATACAATTGTGTTGTTTCTCAATGTTTTTATAGTAACAATAATTGTAATTATTTATAAAAAAATGAGTTGGTTTTAAAGCAAAAACAAAAAATGTGATTAACATAAACCGGGGTTTAACGGAAAGAAAAATTATTTTTTTAAAGTTAAAAGACTGATAACAAAAGTAAGTTTTATTATTAAAAAATCTATTGTCGTTATAATAAGAAAATGGTAATAAAAACAAAAAAAGTGTATAACAAAAAACACTTGCGAGAATGATTGGAATAAAAAAAGCATTTTTTGTTAGAAAAGTTGAAAAAAACAAATTTTCAGAGTAATGTAAGTTGCAAGTTGTTGTTTTACTGCATCAAAACGTTAAAAATATTTTCTAAATGAAGGCCATTCAGTTTTTACAATTGTGTTCAAAACCAGTGCAATCAAAGCAAAAATGGGGCGACTGAGTAAAATAATTTTAAAAAAAGAAAAATAACATTATTTCCAAAATGTTTTAAAAAAGATTAAAAAAATAATCAATTTTTTATTAATTTTATTATTTTTTAAATTATATTTTTATTAAATTAAATAAAAAAAAATTAAAAATTAAAAAAAAGAATAACACAATGATTTTTATAATATTTGACAATATAGTATCGACCCTTATGTTGTAACCACAATATTATGAGATTTTCCAAAATATAAAAATAAGGAAAAATAATATAATTATTATTAATAAAGCAAAATACACAGTTTTAAACAAAATACAAAAAACTAAACTTGGAGCCCAATGCAACAATAAAAATAAACAGATTGATTTGTAAGACATACAAAGACAACTAGAGTCAGTTTATCATCATTATCCGGTCATGAATATTATATTTCATTCTTTCTTTTTTTCTACAGATTCTTTTTTTTCAAAACAATAAAATGTTAAAATGAAATATCGAAAACAGATAGATCAAGTGAAAACATTAAATATTTACAATTTAAATATTTTAATTATAATAAGACAGTTCATACACATTTCCAAAAATTTTAAACAATGACAAACAATTGACAGTACTGTTCAACATGAAACTAACATTTTAGTTCAGCAACATTAACGTAAGAACCATACCAAACAATCCATTTGATCAAAGAAGAAAACATTATTAAGAAGAACAATGAGCGATATTATTGAAGAATATTTGAATTATTGAAAATACAATGTAATAGACGAAGATTGTTTTATTATAAATTTTAATTAAAAAGTTGTTATTAAAGAAAAAAAATTGTTGTCATTAATGTTTTGATTGGATTCAAACATTATGTCCTTAATTGCAATATCCATTTTACCCAGTGCATATAGAGAAAAACAAAATAAAAGTCTCTAATAGCAGTACCATCAAGAAACATTGATATGGTCAATAATCAACATTTTGAAAACTTTGGATTTAAAAAAAGTGAATTACCGCATAGATTTATTATTAAAAACAATGAAGCCGTCGGTTACAAATTTGATTTTAAAATGAAACAATTTGTAATGGAGTTGCTTTTATATTTCAAGTTTAGTTGGTTAGAAAGATGGCCAATCAAATTGTGGTGTCAATTCAATCAAAAATAAAGGATTGACAATTTGAGTGATTTTTATCATTCAACACTCGTGAAAGGCCGTGTTGTAAGAAACCATCTTTGAATAAATTGTTAATTATTTTTATTAAACATGAAGACTTGGAATGGTTACAAATCAATCAAATGGATAAGGAAAAGAATTATTTTAATAACAGACCAACAATAATACACAATCCTACTTTAAAATATGACAGTAAAATGGATCAATTGATTCATTTAAAAAGAATTTGATCGAAACTATTGAAACGTTTAGATTGTCCAAATTGTATAAACAAACACAAGTAGAAGAACCAATAGATGTGAAAAGTGTTTGGAGTAAAAATTCAGAACGCAAACGAGGAATAAATTAATAATATTTTAGATTATTCGAAATAAATCAGTACAACAGAACAATGTATTCAAAAACTCCGCATCCAATCCTAAAAATGAAGCAACGACAACTGATGCCATAAAAGAATTAGCATATTAGGTTGAGTTGTGTAAAACGGGTTTTGATAAAAATAATTATTTGCCACCATCAAAAGAAGATTTGTTGGTGATGGCAAAAGAAAAAAGAAAGCTATTAAGAAAAATACAACTAAAAAATTCTTTAAATGATTAATTTTAGAGATTGATTATGATTAGAATGAAGTGTATAAACAATTATAGAATAAACAGGGGCAGGCTTTTCCCACCCTCACCCCATCTTTTTTAGAACAATTAAAAATGTGATATATAACATTTTCAACAATTTATATTTTTTTAAAATTGTGATTTATACTTATTGACAATTCAATTTATCAATACATTTTTACTTTGATTTTATACAATACTTTTTTATTTTTGTATAAACTGAAAAATAACATATACCTTATGAAACGCAACAAATGAAATCGATTATAATAAATTGAAATTCAATTCCATAACCAATTTTAGTTGAACTACTATATATCATAAGTTCAATCTTCTATAATTTTTTTGAAGGACAATTTTGTTTATTGTGACCCACCATTTTACAAACACTACATGTTCTCACGTGAGCTACTTTCGATTCTTTATCTTGGTGTCTTGGTTTTTTAAGCTGTTACATTTTTCCACACAATCTACCATTTTCCTTGGACAAATTCCTGTATATTGCTGTCTGCGTGGGTCTTTTAAATTAGTACTAAAAGAACTTTGTCTTGAAACACTTGAAACTCTAGACGCAACAGTTGTTGTCATGGTTTCCAAAGTCGTATCATGTGTTTCATTTGTCGATTGTTGACTTATTTCTTTCGTCGTTGGTTGTTCTCGGCAATGTCCAATAAAAGAATAAAACCTGTTTCTCACAAATTCATTTCTTTTAATCAGTGGAACAACTTCATCCAAGTTATTATGAATATCATTGTGACTCGTTGGTTGTTGTTCTTTGTCGTCGATTTTGATAACCTTTTCATGAGTAGTGTTTTTATAAGAACTATCAATAAGAATATCTCTCGCAAAGGCAGTAGTTGGAATAGGATATATTGATCTTTCTGAACAGTATTTAATCATGTGAATGCACGGAATACGGTCAATATTAAAAATGGTACAACAACATCTTGATTCGGAGCAATCTCCATTCAATGGTGGAGCTACTGTTGTGTTGATGTTTCTATATAATTTACACATTTTATTCACTACTATAGCGGGGAGTAAAGGAAGTATGTTTGGCGGAATTAACAATTCTGCAGTTTGTGTATCAAGTATCAAATCTTGTCTTCCATTCAAGTCGAACCTTCTGCTATCAGTGACAATTGTCGTGGCTATTTCAACGAGTGAAGCAATCTTATTTCCTATTTTTTGTTTGAAATTTCCAAAATACCCTTCTATTCTGTTTGTAGTTTGTGTCTGTGTGTTCATCAAAACAACTGAAGGAAGCCAAGAATCTCTTTGCTCGATTAAATTTGTAATAACTTGGATTTTATCACTTTTTGTTATTTTAACTATTTTTTCAGTCTTTCTCAGTTCTTTGATTTCTTCCAAAGTTTCCAGATAAAACACCGCTTCATCATTTGTAAGGTCACCTCCAAGTTCTTTTGACTCTTCAAACATTTGTTGTGCTTCTTCCTTCTGAGCATCGGTTAAATTGTATCCACTCATATAAATTAATCTATTTATAAAGTCGACTTCGGTTATTTTTCCATGAATCATTTCATCAAAATCAGAAACAATTGGAGACGTCTTTCCGAATGATATTTGGAGATCTCTGTGTATATGTCGAACACAGTGAAACAATTTAGAGAATGGGAAAACAATCTTGATTGCTTTCATTTGTGAAATACAACGATCACAAAAAACAATTTTAAAAACAATTTTTTTGTTTTTCAAAAAATTAAAAAGGTCAACAAATGAAGATGTAATTCTATTTCTCATTATAGCGAAAAATAAAATATGGGTGTTCCATTGATCCGAGAAATTTCCAACAACAAGTGGAAAATTAAAATGATTGGTTGTAGCAGTATCATCGATATATATTATTTCTGGTGTATGATTAACATGTTTTGTGTTAAGTATAAAGCATGCTTCAAATTGTCCACTTGAATTTTTAATTATACGAGTGGAAAAATCATTCAAATCATCACAATAAATGGTCAATTTTTTGGCTTCTTCGGTGTTTCTAATATCGTAAACATCTCGAGTAATTTTTCTGATACGTTTAGTGTTAACTGAAAGTCCCATTTGTGAACAAATTTGGGCAGGCCTCATTCCACATTTGGCGTATGTATACACTTCATCAATTTGTTCTTTTGTAAAAGTATACTGAATATTACTTGGAAGGAATTCAAAATTATGGTTGTGTTTTCCAATAAAAATAATTTCACATGCAATTTTATTGTCTTTTTGGAATTTGATATTGACAGAACACTTACACTTTGTTGAATAACACCCAAAGTATTGAATATGTTTGTTGACATCAGTGTGTTTTGCTTTAAACAAAGAATATTGAACACCACCGGCGCTGATGAGAGATGACTCCTTCATTTGTTCAGTGACAGTGTTAATCACAAATTTTGTTTTGCAAATATTATCAATAATTTGTGGTGGTGTGTCAATACCTTCAACACCTCTTATTTCATGTTTGATTAAAGGAATCATGTATTAATTTTTCAGTTTGAAATTTTAACCCTTAAAAATAATTTATATTATATTATTATGTGAATTTGAATTCGTGATTTCTTTATTTTTTAAAAAAATATAAATTGTTGAAAATGTTATATATCACATTTTTAATTGTTCTAAAAAAAGATGGGGTGAGGGTGGGAAAAGCCTGCCCCGAATAAACAAATATAAAAAATTTTAATGCCAAAATTACACATTTTTGTAATTTTATATTATCAGTTATTAATGTTGTTTTAATAATTAAGATTATTTTAATTTTAATGTTTTTTCAATCATTTTAATAATTTGTTATTTTTGAATTATTAATGAACAATTGTATAACCATTACACAATAAAATAAACACTTTCAAGTTATAAAAAATAAACACAGAAACAGATTTTATTTAAAAATATAAGTAGTAGTATATAAATCGTGCTGATTTCGTGCACCCTTTGGGAACACTCAATCTTCACGATTTCGTCGCTTCGCTCCGTTTTTTATGTTTAATTATTATAGGGTTATTATTTTAAAGTGATTATATAATTTTTTGTAAATCTAAAATGACAACTACCATGGGACGTATTATTAAAGCTATTAAAAAGAAATGTGTTCATATTACAGAATTAAATAATCTCGAAGTTGATTTATACTATAGAGTTGAATCTAAAGAGTTATTTCAAATTAAGGACGACACTGTCAAATTAATCAAACCTAGAGTTAGTAAATATAGTGACGATTGGGTTAGATATAGTATCAAAGATAAAAATCATAAAGGAATGACATTTAGTAATAAACCACTAAGGAAATATCATGTTGATAAATTTAAATCAGAATCTGAATGTAAAGATATAGATGAATTTTTAGAACAATTCATATAAATTCTCATAATATTTTATATATTTTTAGTATTTCTCAGAGGTTATCAGATGTTGTCATACTTTCTTAAATTATTTCAAATTGATTATTTTTATTTTATTTTTATAAAATAATCTCAAATGATTTCAAACCAAAAAATAAGACTAATATATGCTGGGAACATATAAAAGTCTATTAAATAATTGGTTACGAATAAGTTGTCTTCATTTAGAATTGGATTTTTCTAGTAAAGTTCTCTCTTGTTTTAATATCAAATGACTTACTAAAATCGAAACTAGGTTTTAATTCTTGTAAGTTAAACGTATAAGATTCTCCTGCGTAGAGTTTCTTATATAATTCAATTGGATTTTCGTTATTTTCCAATAAATTGTTTCGAATACCTTTCATTCTCATATGTAAAGCATGTTTTTGTTTATCGTTTGTTAATACATCTATATAAGCTTTCTTACCTAAGAATATACATTCCCAGATAATTCATCAAAATCTGGATGGAATTGTTCTAATTCACCTCCTCTTAATGTTTTACCATATATTTCTTTATATTTTTGTTCTAATAGTTCCATCTTATTTTTGTTTATATGCACTGAATCAGTATCTTAATAATATATATCTATATTTAAATCTTCTGCTAAACACATTACTTCATTCATTATTCTCTTACTCATACTTAATATTTGTACACCAATGAGATTTGGAACATAGAAGTCATCAAATGGTTTATTTGTTTCAAAACATCTATTATTATCTGATATGTCATACATAGATTTAACTAATGTAAAGTTCTTTTTAAGATATCTATCTGAATCGCATTTTCCTTTATTAATGATATATTTGTAAACCAAGTCATTTTTAATTGGTTTTTGAATCGTTTTTCCATATGAATTATTCATCAATAATTTATAATTGTTTTGTAACGGATTACCTTCTTTTTTAAGTTGAGATCTTAAATTGTATATCTTTTCAATCTCGTTACTAAACACACTTGATTTACAACCAGTCCAATAATATATTCTAATAATATTAAACTCTATTTGTTGAAATTTAATCATATCTTCAAGCATAATATTATCTACTCTCATTGTACAACATTCATTAACATTATGATTACCTTTTTTATCTTTCTTAGTTATAATTGGGAAGTGTAAATGTTTGTTAACCTTGGTTATTTCTATATATACAATAAATGCTGATATATAACGTTCATTTGTTGGTTCTAATTGTTGTTCTAACATTAAGTGGTTTAATATAGTTTTATTACAGGTTTCTTGTGGTATTACTATAGGTTTTCCAGTTGCTAGTTTTAGTCTATGTATAGCGCTAGGATATAACGAACATGCGTCATAATCATATAAATCTTTAGTAACATATTGTTTAGTATTATCTCTACACATATTTCTACCTTTATATACTTCACCCTGTATAAATTCTCTAACTTTCCCAGAATATTGCATTAAGTTTGTAATTTGTGTGTAAACATGTAACTTGAAATAGTGATTAGCTAAAGCAGATATACTAATAAAGTTGTCAACATCTATATTTAAACTTTTCAAATTATTATTTCGGAATTTAATATGACCTTCTTTTAATATTCTAACGTCTTGACAACAGTAGAATTTACAATATAATTACATATCGAACTTGTCGTTATCCACTAAACAATTATTGATTTTAGATATATTCTCTTTAAATAAATTATATTGTTCTTTATTCCATTTTTGAGATTCATATTCAACAGCTTCTGAAATTATTCCAAAGTTATTTTGAATTCGTTCTATGGTGTAATAATTATAAGGATATAACTCTTTTTGAATATTAGATAAATCAAATATTTTAGGAAAATCTGATAACTTATTTGAAATCATTGAATAACTATCTTTCAAAAAAATTTTTTTTTCGTGATAATTTAGTTTCATTTTCATAGTTTTTCCATCTTTCTTAATACATATCTCAATTCCATATTTTGCCAAGAAACACGAATCATATTTCAAATTATGAAAGTAAACAACTGAATTGTTATCTAAATCAGATAAGAAGTCTTCCACACATTCATTTCCATATTTACACGAAATTTGAGATGAATTTCGTTTATAATAAGCAACACAATATGCTTTATGAATTCCTTGTGTGCTAGCTTCGAAATCAGCATAATAATAAGTATAGTTTTTGGATTTCGATTTTTTATTGATTTTTTCCATTGTTATTGGTTTAACTTCGAAATCTAGATAATCTAATAATTCGATTGATTGTTTGACATAATCAGATAAATCTGATTTTAAATGAAGCACATCACTAAGTGAATATGGTTTAAAACCATTATTATCTCTAATATTTAAAATAAGTTCTGATAATTTTATAGTAGATTTAGCTCCTGGATTGGTTAAATATGAAATTCCTTTCTTTCTTTGTTTATTAAACATAGATTCAATTGGTTTGTTGTGATCTAATGCCCATTTATTCAATTCAATTCAATTCTTAAGATAAAAGGGAGTAATAGGAATATCAATATCTAAGAAATAATGATCACCTTTCATACTAACATCTCTAAATAAATACATACTAATTTCAGTAGCTTTTTCATTATCTGATCCTATATATTTCATTATTGTATTTGCATTAGATTGACGTTTTAATTCTTCACGTTTTATTTGAATTCTAATATTACATGATTTTGAAACTTCATCTATCAATTTAATTTTCTGATATCTTGAATAACAATGAATACAATATAAATCAATAATTTTCTCATCTATTTTAGCTTGTTGTAAAACATATATTAAACAATTATTATTTAATTCATGTCTAATTTTGTTTTCAACACTAAGAGAATCAAATATTTGTGCTATTTTTAAATATTTAGAGAAACATTTATATTCTTCTGTATAATGATAAGCAAAAAATGCAGCACCATTATTTCGATATTCATTGATTTCTTTTTTATAATCATATTCTTCAGTTATTAATTCTGTAATAAATAAAGGTTCTGGAACTTCATGTTGAACATAAAATGCAGAATCTGAACCGTTTTCAATTTAAGATTGATTATATAAACCAAGAGTTTCGTTAGAAATTGACTTTAGAAATTCATCTATATTTTCTTTAGAATTTAACATATAAGTCTTCCAAGTGGTATCAGTAAATCTATATTTATAAACTAAATTTGCTGTTGAATCTAGTTTTTCAATTAATTGATTAAAAATCTGTCTAATCATACCAATTCATCTTAATTTTTCTTCAAATCCACAATTAAGATCAGCATGAATTATATTATTATCTACGTCATATCTTACACCTTCTATTTTATATTAATTATCATTTATTGATCGTTTGTATGGCTGATATTCATCATAAATTTGATCTCTGTTTTCATCTTCATCTATTTGTTCAATATTATTGTTTAAACTCCATTCTAAATTATTTTTGATATTATCATAATTATTAATCATGTATTCGTTTTCTCTTTTATTCTTAAGTTGTTCATTAAGATAATTATAACATTCTTGAGATATTGCTTCATCATCTATTTCGGTATTATGTTTTAAACTCCATTCTAAATTCTTTTTATTAAGTTTTTTTTCATAATCTAAATCTTTAATTAATGTTGCTTTTTTATTAATTAATCCAAAAGTTTGTTTATCAATTTTATTTAATTTATCAAACACAATTCTTAAAAATTGTTGCGCTAAAGGCGCCGCTACGTGTTGTTCTAATTTTTCTTTATAATCAAGATAAACATTTCTGGATTCAATATTCATTTTCAATAATTCTTTTCTACATTCTCTATTTAAAATTTTAGTAGATGCTGCTTTAATAATTCCATCTTTAATTCTAAAACAATCAAAAATTTCTTCTTCGGAATAAGTTTTAATAAACTTGTGAAAATTCATTTTCAAGTATTCTTGTGTAGTGCTCATTTAGGATAAAAAAATAAAATTATCACTTTGAAATAATAACTAAAAAATAATAACCCTGAATAACGGAGCGAAGCGACGAATCGTGAAGATTGAGTGTTCCCAAAGGGTGCACGAAATCAGCACGATTTATATACTACTAAGTATAACTTTATAATTATAATTAAATTGAGATTGAAACAAATTCAATTCCAAATAATTCATTTCTGCATATTCAAATCCTTTTTATTTGTACCACAACTGGAATTGAAATTTTGTGTATTTATACCAAATTATTATTTCCATAATAAACGTTAAGAAGCCATTCATTGAACTTGGTTTGCCCCACACTTCTCGTGTTAGATTTCAAATTAATTTCCTCAAATTGTTTTCAAATAACTGACATCTCCACATGCGTCTTTATGATCTCTACGTTGAAACCACAAGAGACTACAATAAGCGTCTGCCTGAAATCACCACCAACTATAACAACCTTAAATCCTAATGTTTATTTCTCCCAACTTTTTTAAAAACATCAATACATTGGAAAAAACTTTTAAGTACCATGGATATTTCTTCAATAAATACCAAACCAATATTATAAACTGTTTTTAGATTCGCTATCTTCGTCGATATTACATTTGCTTTTGTCGTCAAAGTTAAAAGGCAAACTAAAAGAGATGTGTCGTGTTATACCTTATTTAAGGAGAGTTGTAATTATGTAAATTTAAGCAAATGTTTTGATGTATTTTTTTTCTCAATCACACAATCAATGATAGTACTGTACAAAGTGTTTACATTGACTATCAAAAAGCAATGTTTCGTTGACTCTTCATACTTAACGGCAAAACAATTTTATCAAATGTTTCATTTATTTTGTAAAATTTAGATCCTTGATTTTAAGTTTAATTTTAAAAGAATTGGTCCGATTTTAGAATTAGGAAAAACAATTTAAATATTTATATAATTGAAAATAATACCAAAATTTTCAAGAGACGACACACTTTCTTTCAACGTGATTTCCTTGTTTTTAAGTGTCACATTTCAGATTGTGTAGTTGGAACTCCTCTTCCCGTTTTGTTAAAAATAAACATTTCTTATATTTATCCCACTGAGAATAAAATTTCTTATGTTCATTGCAAATATAAATAAACACAAAAATCTGCCAAGCTTTTCCATTTTCACTTTTCATTCGAGAAGTCATTGATTAATACCATTAATTTTCATCACAAATGAGTCCCAAAGCATCACCCGCTTCTTCAAACCTTTCAAAATCGTATCCTTTGACGGTTTCAAGCTATTGTAACTAGTTGTTTTTTAACACGAAAAAGAAAAAATCAAAGGCGGAATTTTTCAACGACTTTCATTGAAAAAACATTCATACTGGAGATATTTTTTAAAACTCTTTTTAATTTTTAACTTCTTATTCCTATTGTTCCATACATAAAAAGTTTGATTATTTTAATAGAATATACTTTTAGCAAACTTGTTTACTTTATTGAATTTGAACCATGCAATTAATATTGTGGCGTTTGGAGGTTTTTTTAAATCATTTTATTTATTTCCATTTGTGAAGTAGACACTTTTCACCATCCAAGTCTACAGCCAAATTTCAATTGAATGTGATATACAACTCAAGTTTTATTCAAAGAGCCATCAATACACTTTACATAAACCAAGATTCCTAATGTCAATGTGTTGGTTAATTTATTTTTAGAATATTTATTTACAAAACTAATAACTTCAGCATCACCTCTTTTTGTATATTTGTAAATGTATTTTTTAACATTTGAACAACATTAGACAATTATGTTTGCTTTTAAAGCTATGAGAGAGGTAAGGATTTATTAAAACAACCCAAAAATTGTCCAACACATATCGACCTATTTTGACAGAAATATATATTTTTCTTGTGTAATTTGTATAGTCATCAATGAGATTTGTTTCATCATTTAATGACATAAAAAACCTTTTGTTGTATTTACAATTTTCCTTGCAAACAATTTTACTGTTAAAATCCCCAAATGGTTTATGCATCATAAACTTATTCACCAAACATTTTACATGATTATCTTCTGTAAACTCTTTATGAATTATATTATCAACATTTTCTATTGTATTCAATTTGGAGTTTACACTTGACACAATAAGATTACAAGCACATGGTAATCCTTCATTAGAAATTAAGTATGGTATACCCAAGCAATCAGTTTCCCAAAAAGATAATCATTGGTTATTTATTCAATTAATTAGGCAAGTTTCAATTTGAACATTGTTACGACTGAGTTGAATCCGTCAATAACATCTTCTTTTACTTTCAGAATGTCTGATATTTCACTTCATTTTGCATTTGTTGATAAACAGAACTTAAAAACTATCCTTGGCAAAAACAGTTATAGTTTACACAATCTTCTATTTAGATTGTGTGAAGAATTAATGTATGTTAATAGGATGATAACCTTCACTCTTGTAGCTTTACCATTTTTTTACATCATTTACAATTTGATCCGGAACAACTATGTAGTAGCACATAGTTCCTTCTGGTTATTACAATATGTATTCAAAGCCGTGTTTATACTCTTGTGTATGCATTCACGTTATATTGTTGTGTCATGTTATATATTTGGAGAATTGAGCTTTTATATTTTTTAACAGAAATAATTGATAAAAAGTATTGTATCATATTAACTTTTCCCTTTTATAATGATATTTATTTAAAAATCCTTTCTCGCTTCTTATTGCTCATCAACTCGACCATTTGGAAATATCAACGCATAACGAAACATTACAGCATTTTTCTCAAAAATATAAACATTGATATATTTGTCTTTTTGTTCTCCATGCACTTTCTTGTATACCACAATGTCATAGTCAAATGGAAATGCATTTTCTTCATCATCACTTGTGAACACTTCACCAACATCAAGTACCATTGGGAAAATGAAAATTTGATGTCATCTTTAAAAAATCTAATACAATTTCATCTTTGAATTTTTTCATTCTTCTGTGGATTTTTGCAATATTTTTTTCCTCTGATGTAATCGTCGTAAGTTTTTAATGTTTCATTCTCATATTTTGATGTGAAATTTTCCTCTACTTTTTTTGTACGACTTTATCAGCTTTAATAAAATATAGTTGCCCAAATCCTCTTTTGCATTTTTTGATGGTAGTTAAATTAACATTCAATTGATAAAAAAACATTAAGATATTCAAAGTATTCTTATTTCGAACGCATCTTCAATTATTTCAAACTTATAGAAATTTGATTACACAAACATTCGTAATGAACTTTTTTTCACCACTCGAATTGACATTTTATCTACCCAACTCACATAAATTCAAAAGTGTTGTTAACAAAATAACATACAAACTCTTTCAATTGAATAGAATAGTTCGTCTATTATTATTTTTGTCTAACAATACCAATTTCGCAAACTCATAGCCAAAATTGAATATCTTCAACATAATATTCAACGTTGCACAAATCACTAAATCCGATGCCAACTTAAAATTTACAAAAAAATAACACAAACAGTTTTTTGTTTTGACTTTAAGTTTTGTATGATCAACGGGTCTTCTCCATCAAAGACTCGATCAGTGAATTCCATTTTGAATTTTAATAATCATTTAGTAAAATTGTTATTGTTTTTTTTGTTTTCACAGTTTGGCAAAATTATTTGTTGTTTTTTATTTGAAAAGGTTTTTGGAAAAAAAAATAAACTCCAACGTATTAATAAAAATAACCCCCATAAAAAATGAAGTTTGATAAATAAAGTATTTTTTTATAATAATGAATAATATAAATATAGTTAATATAATACAATTAAAATTTTTTTTGATGAAAATGGTAAAAGGAATTGTAAAATACCGAACTTTACATTTTTAATTAAATAATAATCAACACAAATAAAATGTTAAGTTTTAACCATGTTTTTCGTAGTTTTATTTTAATATTGATCGTTTTTGTCGCGATTATCGGGATAATCTCCAAATCTGAGTATTGTTTCTCACTTTTCTTGTTTCTTTGCCATCAATCATTTATTGGGTTGATTTGCTTGATTTAGTTTTATCTTTATTTTAGTTTGTGTGATTTGAACAAAAAAACAATCATATAAACTTGTTTTATTTAAACGTAATAATTTGGGTAAATTCTTAATTAAAAAAGGCTTTTATTTGAATTGATTTGTCTAAATTAAGTAAACTATTATTTTAATTCATTTTACATTAAACTGAATTAAAACCCAACACATACAATTTGCCTTTTACAAAAATTTACAATCATTTATATACATTTTCATAATATATATTTAATATTATTATAATAAACAAATAATATAGTAATTACGATTAAATTAATTGAAAGTAATCTTTCCATAGTGAGCAATAAAATAACTAAGGAGTTTATTATAAACTTTCGAAACGAAAAAAAAGAGTATCAAAACGATTTGGATAATCGGGAACATTACACGTCTTATGTAAACTTGTGCAGGCCTCATAGAATGGTAAAAGACTTTATTAAAAATATTGAAGATACAAATCCAAAGGAGTGATGGGCAAAATGAAAAGAAGAAGAAGAAAAAGAAAAAGAAAAAGTCTTGGGAACCAACTGCAAAAAACTAAAGATGATTGCTCAATTCACTTTCGTTTTTCTTTTGATGTCGTGGGCGCGAAGTTCAAGTGAATGTGTCATGAGTGATTTTAGTACTTATAAAGACTTTACAAATTACCCGGTTCACACACTCAGCTGCGACAAAATTATTTTTGAAAATGGGACCTTTACACTCAACTCGACGTTTTTCAACATTTATTTATCTCCTCCGATTTTAGAATTTAGTGGTGATGTTACACTTCTTTTTAATGATTGGGGTATTGGGTGGGCGTCTGCTATTAACATAACAGCAAACACAAATTTGGTACTCAATTCATCGATTAAACTTTCAGATGTAATGGAGTATAATTTTGGTGACAATGTGACAATACTAATCAATGGATCATTTGAACTAATGACCAACAAACATTTAGTGTTTTCTAACATGACTTTTGTCGTCGAGTTCTTTTCAATTGGATATAACACGACATTCAATAACGTGTCTATCACTTCTAAACAAACATTCGTCTTGAAAGGTACTAACACTTTCTATAATACACAGATCACGACTCAATTATTAAATATGGACCCCGGAGCGTATACTATTATTGGTACAACTTTAAACTGCAACACTTTCGAAGGAATGCAAGCGGTTTTTGAGGCAACCGACTCGGCGGTCAATGCCGAAAAGTGTTATTTTTATGACTTTACAATGACTATAAAAACTACACACATTATATTTGACACGTCTTGTGAACTTGAATTTGTTTCTGTGCACTTAACTAAGGGTTCTGTATTCCAATCGAAATTTTTGTATATGAACGAAAGCTCGGGAATGTTCATTTATAACAATTCAACCGTTCGCACCGAGAACACAACATGTGAAAATTGTAGTATTGAAGCGGATGAAATGGCGACATTATTCTTCTTGTTTATTGGATTATTCAAAAGCAGTGTGTTGATTGAAAACGACTTTACTTCTGTTTCCATAGAAAGGGGACTTGTTATTCACGAAGAATCGGAAATGAGATTGTTAGATAGTGCAACATTCCATTCAAATACCCTTTCATTGTATAACACTTCACAACTTAAAATGTATGGATCAGCAACTTTGGTATCACAGAAATTGATGATATGTGATGATTCAATTGTCACATTATCACAGGCAAGTCATTTTAAAATAGAAACGGGAATGTTCACAAATAAAAGTACTTTGGTTGTCGACCAAGTGGTATCAAATACCATTTTGGGATATACAAATGCAAGTGGCGAGTACACAATATTTGGGATGTACGACCATTCAACACTCACAATAAAAACACCGTCGTCTGATCGACCAATTTTCATCATCACAAATGGGTCAATTCTATTTGGTAACTATACGGTTATTGAAACACCAAACGACACTTGCGCGTATTTGGCATATCTGAATTACTCGAGTCAATACTTGGAGGCTGCTACAAACTATAAAATCATCTATTTCAGTTACAATACAAATTATTACTTATCAAACGGAGGACAATCACTGAAGTACTGTATTACAGCGTTATCTGGTGTCGTCTGTGTAATGAATGGGACGAAATGGAACGACGTACAGGATTCAAATGAGTTATACCCATTCACCGAAACGACGTGTCCGTGTCATGGCCCACAGTGCTACATAGTATCAAACAACAGTGAGATTGAGATTGGCGATTATACAGTGGAAGCGCTTTTCCTTCCAAAGTTTAGAGTTTTTAGAATTATTAAAAAGATAATCAAGAAAATACAAATACGCGGGTTCATCAACTCAATCAAGTTCTTTGGAGTGATTCATATATCTCCATTGTGTCCAAACGGTACAAAGATATTCACCAAATTAAATGGAACACTTGGCTTGTTATACTTCGATTGTTTATTAACAGACGATATTCCAACAACTCCAGTTAAACTTTCCCATACACATTCTACAATTGAAAAAAGCAAAATCATCGATTTTATTACAAATAACGTACCAAAAAAGACGACAAAAGAATTAATGAGTTCCATATTAACGTTCGATAATTTCACTATTCAAATACAATCAACAGTGGAAGTAATAATTACAATAAACAATAATAAAACGGATAACGTAGAATATTCTGGAAATATTGGTGCTGTTATATATTCAACAGGAAGCATTACTGTGAATGCACAAAGTAGCATTACTGTGAATGCACAAAGTAATACTCCTTGCAAATATGGCGTATTCAAAAATGAAACAAACTTTGTGTGTTCCGAGAGTGCCGAAAGAGTGTGTGAATACGGATACTACGCATCAACCAACCAAACTAATTGTTTGCAATGTGAAGAACATTGTCTTTCGTGTGACAGTAACACATGTAATAAATGTTCTGAGAACTATGTTCTGAATTGTTCTGGAAGATGTGAAGCTCCCCGAGACCCAGCACACTGTATTAGTTTTGTACGAAACAATTGCTTCTTATGTGAACCATATTATTTCTTAATGAATAAGACGTGTACTAAATGTCCTGATTACTGTATTCAGTGCACATCACTTTCAAAGTGCTTGATTTGTCAGCCAAAGTACTTTTTGTTGAATGGAACATGTGAGTTATTAACGAGTGGGGTAGGCGTTTCAAATAGAAATGTTGTCAGTTGCCCGAGTGGATATATCTCAGTGAATAACAGTTGTTTGTCATGTGAATCCTTGTCGTACACCAATTGTTCAATGTGTGAAAAAGGGAAGTGCACCAAATGCTCACAAGACAAAATGTACATTGCAGACCAAACCCTGTGCAGCGGTAACTTTTGTTCTGAATTTGTTGATGCAGAAGCATGTAGTAAATGTTATGAATGCTTTTCGTTAAACATCCAACACAAGTGTGTCTTAAAAATTGCACATTGTGTGACATATAACATGACATATTGCATGGAATGCGAAGAAAACTATACATTATTCCAAAACAAGTGCTACACTGCGGACAACAAGTGTTTACAGAAAACAAGTGAAAGGTGTTTCCGTTGTATTATGGGATATTACCCCGACGTCACAAGTAAATTGTGCACAAGTTGTTCTGAAAACTGCTCTTCGTGTCTTAACAGTACGACATGTCTCATATGCAAAGACAATTACTATCTTTCTTCATACTCGTGCATCTTAGGGAAAGATGGCAGTTTGTGTTTAAAGTACACGAACACTGGGAAGTGTATAATGTGTTCCGAAGGCTACTTTCTATCAGATGGTGGATGTAAACAGTGTCCCAAGAATTGTAGTCACTGTGATACCACAACGACATGTTCCGAGTGCAATAAGAATTCTTTTAAAAATTCTTCTGGAGAGTGTTTAACACGTGATGATATAGAAGGGTGTGATGGGAATGTTACTTTAAATAAAGGGTGTTCACATTGCGAAGATGGGTTTTATTTATCGAATGGGATCTGTTACATGTGTAACGACACATGTCTTACTTGTTGTAGTCGAATTCAGTGTCGTTCGTGTTTAGATAAGAACGTGTTAAATGATGGGAAGTGTCAATCGATGTCAGGGGTGCTTCGGTGTATAGAAACTAAAGACTCGAAATGTTCGAAATGCACAACTTTCTATAACCCTAATTCTGATGGAACAAGGTGTGTTGGGAGTTGTCCTGGATATCTCCTTGTTTTATTTATATTCATTTTCATTGTATTTGCAGTCATAATAATTGTTGTCGCGTTTCTCATATGGAAATACTTCCCACGAAAAATTAAGAGCGAAAACATATTCACACCAAAAGGAAACGACGTCAAAAATTTCAAGCACAAAATATTTAAAACAATCTCATGCGATTGTGAACATATCGATTTCTTTGGTGAGATTCCCGTCTTAAAAGAGAGTGCAAAAATGTTTAATATTTACAACGAAGGGTCTAACGCAGTGGTCTTAAATTTTTCATCGATAAACAACAAAGAGAAGTATGGACTTGTAGTAGAGCCCAAAATGACTATTTTGCCCAAGAAAAAGGCGTGTAGTGTTCTCGCCAAGATCACACCAAAGTGTACTTTTACTCTCGAAGAACCCACTCTTATAATGATATGTGACTATACTCATACAAAAGGAATATACGAAAGTTATGTCTTCCCTGTAGTTGCTGCGACTGAACTTTCGACACGTCTGAATATTGAAGAAATCAACTTTGAGACGCGCATTGGAGAAGGCAATTTTGGGACTGTTTTTAAGGGGAAGTACAAGAACAAAATTGTTGCTATAAAAACATTTAAGATCTTCCAACAAGACGATTTCATGAAGGAGTTTGAGATGCTCGACAAGTTCAGATGCGACTATATTGTCATTTTTGTTGGAGTGTGTTTCGACCAGCGGATGCCATCCATCATCACTGAATTTGCGCCGTTTGGAAGTTTAATGAAATGTTACAAGAAGAAGGTCAGTGACATATCTCTGAAATTGAAAATCCTGTTGGACGTATCAAGAGGGATGGAGTATTTGCACATCAACGGCATTTTACATAGAGACATCAAACCAGACAACATCTTAATATTCTCAAAGAACCACACCGACTTGGTCACCGCAAAACTCTCCGACTTCGGTTCGTCGAGAAACATCAACTTGATGATGACCAACATGACATTCACAAAAGGAATAGGTACTCCGACCTTCATGGCACCCGAGATACTAAAAATGGAGAAGTACAATATAGCAGCAGACGTCTATTCTTTTGCAATGTTAATGCTATCTGTCGTCAAGTGGGGCAAAATATTCACCGACCCGGAGTTCAAATTCCCATGGAAAATCGCAAAGTTTATCAGCTCAGGAAAACGCCCTGAGATTCCCAAAGACCTTCACACCAATTTGAAAAGTCTCATTGAAAGATGTTGGAATTCAGACCAGCGAATAAGACCGACATTCAACACGATAGTCTCCGAACTCAAGTGTATATATGATTTATATAATGTTTAATGGGTTGGTTCTTATAATCTATCGCTTAATAGTTTTATACTATTCTTTAACTAGTAAAATGGGACGAAAGAAAACTCGACCAAAACACTGTGTTATGATTGTAAGATAGAGATCTCTTCCCAAGGGTCTGCTTCCTCGGTACAGTACGCCAACATTTGGTTAGTGAAATCGGTTGGGGTGTATTTCATCTCCTTGAAACTTTCGAGCATGAGTAACGCGTTTTGAATGGCAATGCACTTCTGTTGGAACTGTAACCCGATGTCAGCCCACCCCATCTCGTCGATGTATTTGTCCATCCCACTTTCCTTTGCAATTGTTTTGAACTGGTCGAACCCAGTGACGACGGGTAGATGTAAGTGTTGAGTGAATGCCTCCCATATATCCAACGTTCTCAATATTTCTGGGGCTAAGCAAGTCGTTGCGATGATGTACAGCCGTTTATTTGGTGGGACGGGCTTTCTGATATACGACAGCAACAAGTGTAACATCGTATTATCAAATCGCGGCCCAAAGGCAGTGTATTCCAACACTCTTTCCAAGTCGTCGATGATGATAACAGACTGCGCACTTCTGTAAGCGTCGGTGAACACTCGCGCAATTTTAGAACACTTCATTTGGTCCGAATACCCAACTAACATTTCAGAGGAAAGCATTTTGATGTACGGGAACCCACTCTGTTTAGCTGCTTCGACAGCTAAAGCAGTCTTTCCAGACCCATGTCTTCCTCCAATCATCACAGCTATTTTATTTGTCACATTGGAAGTACTCAACTGCTGTACAGACTCTTTCAACAAATCTCTCACGTGTTCCTGAGCTGAAGAATACACCAAGAAGGGGTCTGGAAGGACGGGAAACACGTCGTTATTATCCATCCCAAATGCTGGCTTCATCTCACTCAATGCCATATCAAAATGTTCCTTCTTAATGATGAATTTGTCGGTCTTTGGCTTATACTTCTCCATATCAAAGTTCTCTTTCAACGCAAATGAAGTCGCTGACAACACCAAACCCTCTATCTCAGCTCCACTGAAGTTCTTCGTCCGTTTCGCCAACTCTTCAATCGAGACATCATCCCCTACCATCTTATTGTCTCGCATTTTCTTCGTGTGGATATTCAGAATCTGTACTCTGCCATGCTCGTCTGGTAGTCCAATTTCAATTTGCACTTCAAGTCTTCCTGGTCTCAGTAAAGCGTCATCTAACATATCCATTCGATTTGTCATACCAATGACTAAGATGTTGTTCAACGCATTCACGCCATCAATCTTAGCTAACAACTGATTCACAACAGTATCCATAATTCCAGTGGAATCTCCACGACTTCCTCTTTGCTTACAAATTGCATCCAACTCATCTAACACTATAATATGAAGCTGACTGTCATCCCCTTTCGCCTTTTGTTCCTCTTCAGCTTCAGCAAACAAGTTTCTGATGTTCGCCTCAGACTCACCAACGTATTTATTTAAGATGGAAGGCCCATCCACGATTTTCGGTTCAACACTCGACACCATTTTCCCTATCTGTCGCGCCATTAAAGTCTTGCCACACCCAGGGGGACCATAGAGTAATATCCCTCTCACGTGCTTGATACCAAGTTTCTTAATAGTCTCCGGTGGAAACATTCTCGACATGAACGCTCGTCTTAATATGTCTGTAAATTCCTTATCAAGTCCACCAACACCCATTCCCTCCGGATTGAAGTTCTTAGTAAACAACGTCCCTTGAGTCATGCCACCTTCTATAGTCAGAAGTCCACCGTCATTCCCAATTTTGCAGACGTCGATTGTCTGTATTTTCTCGTGGATAATACCTCTGTCCGCATTCTCGATGATTTCCCCTTTTGGTCCAATCAAATTGATTTCGGCAAACCGAAGCAAGAAGTTGCAGTTCTTCAGTGAGAGTGTTAAGGATTGGTTCCTTGTGATTATTTGCTTGTTGAAGTCCTTCTTCAAGATGTCTCGAATGGTATTCGCTTCAATGGAAACTTGAGTCGGCCGCGCAAAGAACCCAATCTCTACTTTAATATAACTTGTGCAGCGCTGTGTTTGGTTCGGATCAAATTTCTGAATAACAACTTTCTCGTCGATGCCCAAATTCAAGTCCGTTCGTTGGACTTTACTCAAATTGATTTTGCCCTCCTCGACTACGTCGAGCGCGTGCGCAGTGTACACAAACTTGTCGATAAGGACGTATTCGGGAAGACCAAAAGATTGATAATCTTTTGTATTGAAGAAGACGTGGTTCGTCAAAGTGAATTTGATGTGTTTCACTTCAAATTGTCCAACTTGCAGCGATATGGATTTCATCTATATTTATAAGTTCTTTTAGTTTACATTTATACTATCAACATGTGATACTTTAAAGCGACATCAATAGAACATCAATAGAACTTGAGTTATACTTTTAAACTATAATTTTATAATATTTATAGTAATATTTATAGTAATTTATTATATTATACTATTAATATATTTTATTATATATTATTAATATAAAAAAACAATAAATTGTTCAATTTGTGTTATTCGTCTATTTTGACCATCCAAACGCGAATTCCGATTTCTGAGCATATGGTACGAGCAACAGAAATGGCAAAGACTATTTCTTGGGCAATAGAAATAATGAGCATAACAGTAGTCAACAAAGAGGCGTTTATCCAAGTCATTCCAACAGACGCCAGTAAAACAAGAGTAACAAACACACAGAAAATGATGTTTATATAATAAAACAAGTCGACTTCTTCTTTACAAATTCTATTTAAAATAATTCTTTGTGTGATATATGCATTTACTAAAATAGTAATAGCTGTGACCTTTTGGAAATTCTGTTGTAAATACGTTTCGTTTGCGAAAACAAATAAAATAGCCATAGTAAAAAAGAAGAGCAAAAATGGAGTCAACCGGGTCACACTTTTACTAAATCGACACATTTTAGTTGTCGTGACGAGTTTATACACATTGAATGAATAAAACAGAAACGCTAAAAATGCACCCAAAATGGTACAATACGCAATAGTGGTGTTGACTTGTAACCCAAAGATCACTAAGTCCATCACACCCGGGTATATAGCTTCAACGATTAACACTGCTATCATTATTAACTGTAATTCTGTTGGGTTCAAAAGTGCGTTTAATATCAAAACACCGGTGTGGTACTCTTCCCAATGACTTAAGAAGAAGACCAAATAGAGCATTAAAAGGACAATAAGTGTTAATGTAGTCGACACGTGTAAACATAACACAACAAATAGTGCAAAAATCCCAATCATTATCGAGTCATTGCCGTGGTCAAATAACTCTCCTAAAGGTGTTGCGTTGTGTGTTCTTCTTGCTTGTCTTCCATCTATGTTGTCTGCTATTTGATACAAAAAGATGAAGAGCGCCATTAAAACGTATAAGTATCTTGGCATTTCCTCTAGGCCTGTTGGAAGTACAAATGCGGTAATGACCCAACACAGCGCCATTGATACGAAGCCAAGAGTCGTCAAAATATTTGGTGCTATATAACGCGGGATATATTTTTGAAGCAGTGGTTCCCATAGATATGGGGCTAATATATAATTCGCACAAAACGAGTGATCCTCTCCTCTGAACGAATAATTGTGGAGCTGTTTTTTCCCTTCAGCAGAAATAAACATCTTTCTTTCCATTTTACAGTTGAGTGTAACAATTACAAGTTCCAAAAAGACCGAATGGGCTTCGTTGCCACTTCAGTCGAAAACGAATCTATTTTTAACTATAATAATAGTATTCCAATTAAAAGAAAATGAGATCTATTACATTATAGTTTCGATTCTTATAGGGT